GGGGGGGGTGGATGGAGAAGGGTAGGGGAGGAGGAAGGAGGGAGGGAGGGAATGAAGGAAGGAAAAGAAAGAAAAGAAAAAGAGAAAAGGAAAGAAAAAAGGAAAGAAAGAACGAGAGAAAGAAAAGAAAATAAGCTAGCTTGAAGTATCACACAGGAGGTAGAGGCTGGGGATGAGTCTTCAAATTCCTCACATATTAACATAAGTCAGATTTTCTTTTGGTCTGTTTCTGGATGTGTCTTTAGCCCTCCAGCCCCAGCACAATGCTGGCACACTGCAGATGCTCAATAAACACAAATATGCAAGTAAGTACAATGAATTTATAGAAAGTATGAATCCCAGTTGCTTGGGAGGCTGAGCCAGGAGGATTGTCTCAGTCCAGGAGTTTGAGACCAGCTTGGCAATGCAGGAGACCTCCCAACAACTCCCCAAAAAAAGCCCATTCCACAATCTCAGAAATATATACAAACTCTTTAAATATATACATACATATAATATCTGGTATCAGGGTCAGAATAAATATCAAGGTCCAACGTGGGACAGGAGGGGGTGGGGAGGGTCCTCCAGGGGAGGTCAGCAGCAGGGACCCCTACCCCGCCCCTTGAGGTAAAGAAAGCAGCAGGGACCCAGCACCAGGGGTCTCAGTAGGGTTCAGTCTCTGTCCAGGTGTGCTGCACCCAGGCGGGGCGTTATTCGGACCTCAGTGCAGGCGGTCCGGCTGGGACTTCGGGGGTCACCCGGAAGAGTCCCAAGACAGTGGCGCCCTGGGTAAGCTGCCAGGCATGGTGTGTGCCGGCGTCAGTGTGCAGATGGACGCCCAGGCGCTGGCCGGCACCCAGGTGCAGCAGGCAGCTCCGGAAACCGAAGGCCGAGTTCCGAGCCTCGGAGGAGGTGGGTGGCAGGTCCACGGTCAAAGCCAGGGCGGTGGCCCCAGGAGCAGGGCGCTGCGGCTGCAGGTGCAGCGCAAGTGAGACGGAGCCTGAGCCCTGGCCGGCCACCACACGGTGCAGCTCTAGTTGCAGGAAGACGTAGTAGACTCCAGCCGTGCCTACCACCAGCTCCTTCGTGTCTTCCTCATAGCTCAGGCCCTGCGCCAGGGACACACCTGCCAGGCCGGGGTCGCTGTACCAGCTCAGGGGCCCGTCGGTCAGCAGAACTGTGGGAGGAGAGGATGCACTTAGCTTAGCTGAGCATTGCTGAGAACCGAGCATGGGGGGTCAAGGGTGATTGAAGGGGACTGAGGTGGAGGGGGTACTCTGAGATGGGGCTGGGGGAGGGAAAGACGGGGATAAAACAGAAGAGGATCCAGGGACAACAGTCAGGAGAGGGCAGAATTCCAAAAGGTTGAGTGGGGAAGGAGTAATGGAGGTGCAGGGACAGACTGCCAGGGGGTGAAAAGCAAAAGGCAGAGTGCTTCTGGCTGGAAGAACCCTCAGGGAGGGGTGAGGGGACTCCTGGAGAGGACAGTGAGGGTGGAGGGAGCGGCAGATCCCAAAATGAAGGAGGGGGAGTGGAGAAGAGAGAGAAGGCAGGGAAGGGGAGAGGAGAGATGGAGGAGGCTGGGATGGAGGGGGGGAGGCTGTTAAGAAAGGGGGAAGTTCTAGAGGAAGGATGGATCAGGGAATCGCGGTGACTTTGAGAGGGGTGGACAGAGGACCTGGTGAGAGAGGACTTCGAAGAAAGGAAAAGGGAGGAGGAAGTGCCTAGGGGAGGGGAGGGCAGGGGGGGGGCTCATGGCCTGCTGAGGGGCAGGGGTGGGAAGAAGGGAAAGGGGTCTCTGGAAGGGGGAAAGAAGGGAGAAGGGGGTCTCTAGATACGGAAAGAAAGGGAGAAAGAGGTTCTGGAGTGGGAGGGAGTCGCTGGATGGGGAGGGAAGTCGGGGAGGAGGGTCTTGGGAAATGGGAGAGGATGGGGCTGGGGAGGGGAGAGGGAGGAGGATCTGGGGCCGGGGAGAGAATGGGAGTAGGGAGGCGGCCCTGGGGGAGGGAGAGGTGGGGAGAAGAGGCTGGGGAGCTGAGGGGGGCAGGAAATGGGGAAGGAAGGGGGGGGTGGTTTCCAAAAGAAGGAGGCCAGAGGCTCTAAACCAGGCCGGGGGTTGAGGGTGTCAAGCCCCAGTTCTGATAGGGCAGGGGTCCCAGGTGGGCCCAGATGGGGGTCTCATGGGGGGGCTGTGGCATCCAGAGAGTCAGGGCAAGTCAGAAAGAGGGATAGGTGGCATTCAAAGATGTGAAGTGGCAGCTTTCAGAGGGGGCAGCAGAGTCTCAATCTCCAGGCGCTCCCCTTTCTTAGTATCCCCAGGAGGGGCCCGGACGGGAGTGGGGCAGGACACTCACCATTTTGGGCCACCAGCTGTGCAAACATGCCCTGTTAAAAGTGGAAAGGAGGAAGGTGGATGGGGGTTTCCCTAGAAAGTGGAGGGGTGCTGTCCCCACTCACTTCAACCGTCAGGGTCCCCAGGGTCTGTGCAGACCTGGAATCGACACTTCCCTCCCAAATAAAGAACACTGAGGATGCACAAAAAAACACGCACACAGGAACACACACAAACACGAACACACACACACACAAAGCTGGTGGTTCAGCCTGCCCCAAGAACAGACCTCCAAAAATTCAGGAGGGAAAAGAGATCCCTCTTCTTCCCAGCCCACTTTCGGGGTTCCCCTGGGGATCTTGGAGAGGGGGATACCTCAAGGGTTGGGGAGAAAAATGAGTCTTTGGGTGTTAGCAAAGGAACTGGGAGTCTCCTTGGTGGTCCCGGATAAAGAGGAAGTGCTCCCCTAGAGTCAGGGATGGAAAAAACGTTCCCCCCATGAAGGGTTGAGGGTTGGAGAACTGCCGAGGGTCACCTCGCCCAGCGTGCAGATAGGGTGTCCTGGGAATGCGGAATTAGGAGGGGTGCCCCCACCGAGTGCCTCATAGAGGAAAGAAGCTCTCTTTTTCCGACCCGGGGAGCAGAAGACGTGTCCCCGGGGATTTGAGGACTGTGGGGTCTCCTCCTCCTGGCCTAGGGTGCTGATGGGGTCTCGTGGGGATGCGAAATGAAAGGGGTGCGCTCCCGTGCAACATGAAGGCGGCGAGCCCTTGGAGGTCCAAAAAGAACTTGTGGGATCTCCTCTCCCAGGCCCAGGGTCTCGTAGGGGGCACAGGATGAAAGGGGTGCCCCCGGGCTAGAAGGAGAACGGGACCCATAGGGGTCCAAAAAGAATTGTTGGGGGACCGGGCGCCATGGCTCACGCCTATAATCCCAGCACTTTGGGAGGCCGAGGTGGGCGGATCATGAGGTCAGTAGATCCAGATCATCCTGGTCGACATGGTGAAACTCCGTCTCTACTAAAAATACAAAAATTAGCTGGGCATGGTGGCGCACATCTGTAATCCCAGCTACCCGGGAGGCCGAGGCAGGAGAATTGCCCGAACCCAGGAGGCGGAGGTTGCGGTGAGCCGAGATTGCGCCATTGCACTCCAGCCTGGGTAACAAGAGCGAAACTCCGTCTCAAACAACAAAAAAACTGACTCTGCGCCTGTAGTCCCAGCTACTTGGGAGACTGAGGCAGGAGACCCTGGAGGCAGAGGTTGCAGTGAGCCGAGATTGCGCCACTGCACTCCCTCCAGCCTGGCGACACAGCAAGACTCAGTCTCAGAAAAAAAATCCTGTTGGGGGGTCTCCTTACCGCCCCCGGCCGGGGGTATAGATGGGGTCCCCTAGGGGTGCGGGATGAAATGTATGCGCCCCGCCTCGGTGCTAGATGGAGGGTGGGAGCCGCCGTGGGTCTCCTCTCCCCGGTCGGGGGTGCGGGATGGAGAAGGGAGTCCCAGAGGGGCGGCGGGGGTATCCCGCGAGATCCGCGACCGAGGGTCGGGGCGCGTCTCACCTGCCGCGGGTCCGGGAGGCCGGCGGGGTCACCTGGCGAAAGCTCAGGGCTGTAGCGGAGTCTCGGGCTGGGTACGGAGCTGGGTGAGGCCTGAGCCCCGGAGACGGCCCAGGGGCGGGCGACGCAGACGGCGCAGGCGGCCGCGAGCAGCAGCAGCAGCCCGGCGACCAGGACCCACCGCAGCGGGCGGCAGGAGCGCGTGCGGGGCGCCGGAGGCCACGGGGCCTCGGGGTCCAGCGCGGCATCAGGGGAGTGTCCCATGACCGGCGACAAGAGACTGCCGGAGGACTCCCGCGCCGCCGCTTTTAAGCGAAACTCCGAAGAGAAACTTCCACGCCCAGAGCCTGTCCCCGCCCAGAGCCTGCCGGTGCCCACGTGCCCACAGCCCGCCTTTCTCCAGGGTCTGCGCCTGCCCGGAGCCCGCCCCCTGCCCACAGCCTGTCCCTGCGACTCCGAGGAACTTTCTCCACCGGGATCTCTCCCCGCCTTCAGCTTTCTTTTCTGTTTCTGGCCTTCCAAGCTCGGCCCCAGGTTCCCCTCTCCCTGTCTTGTCTCCGCCGCCCAGTTCTCGGTTCTCTCTCCCTGCTGTGTCTCCGCCGCCCCGGTTCTCTCTCCCTGCCGCTGCGTCCCGGTATCTTCGTGGATCTCTTGCTGACTCAGTCTCCTTTGTTCAGTGTGTCTTTTCCTGTCACTGTATGGCTCTGGCTGTCGCTCTTTCTGTCTCTCTGCCTGTTTCTCTCTGTCTCTGATTCCCTCTGTCTCTCCCTATCTCTCTCCTTGTTAGTCTCTTCTTCCCCTCCTCTCAGCACCCTGTAGCCCCCCTATCACTGGGACTTCCCTAGATTTCCCCCACATCCAGCACTTCCTAAGAAGAGTCAGAATTCACCCAGGCCTCAACCACCCTCACTCCGGGAGCACCCGACCCCCCCCACACACGCCCCCTCCCCAGTGGAATCCTGAATGTCATGCTTGCCCTCTTGCCCACCTTCCCCAGGACCCCTGGGCCTTCCCTGGCCTGCCCCCACCCACCCACTGGACGCTTCCCAGCAGGAGTCCCTCGGGACCCCACAAGCAGAAGCTTGGAGAGTCCAGGTGGGAAAATTCCCCGGCAAGAAAGCGACAGTGTCAGGCGGGCAGGCGAGTTGTCGGAAACTCACATTTCCCATCTGTGCTGGCCTGCTGAGAGGCAGCCAATCCAGGGCTGGGAGGATGGGCCAAGAAGCAGTGAAAACTTTGCTCCAAAAGAGGAAGCACTGCCAGATGGAGATGAACGTGACCCCGGGAAAGCCCTTGACTGGTGTTGAAGTCCTGGTCTACCCAGCCCTGTGTGGGTCCACACTGGCCAGCTCCCTTCCTGTCTCCAGCCCCACAGGAGATGGGAGTGTAGATCAGGCCTTTCATCCCTCTTCCAGCAGGAGTCACCCCATAAAATAAAGGGACTGGCTGGGCAAGGTGGCTCATGCCTGTCATCCCAGCAATTTGGGAGTCCGAGACAGGTGGATCATTAGGTCAGGGGTTTGAGACCAGCCTGGCCAACATGGTGAAACCCCATCTCTACTAAAAATACAAAAATTAGCTGGGCTTGGCAGGTGCCTGTAATCCCAGCTATTCAGGAGGCTGAGGCAGGAGAATCACTTGAACCTGGGAGGCAGAGGTTGCAGTGAGCCAAGATCATGTTACTGCACTCCATCCTGGGTGACAGAGCAAGACTCTATCTCAAAAATAAAGAGCTTTGCACAGTGGCAGTATCGTAGCCAATGAGGTTTATCTGAGGCACGATTATTAAAACTTTTCCCAATACCCTGTCATGACGACTTGAAATATACTCGGCATTGGCAATTTTTGACAGTCTCTATGGAGACTGAATTATTATAAATAAGTAGGGCCAGGCATAGTGGCCCAAGATGTCTCCAATCCCAGCACTGTGGGAGGCCAAGGCAGGCATATCACGAGGTCAGGAGATCGAGACCACCCTGGCCAACGTGGTGAAGCCCCATCTCTGCTAAAAGTACAATAAAATTAGCTGAGTGTGGTGGCATGCACCTGTAGTCCCAGCTACTCAGGAGGCTAAGGCAGGAGAATTCCTTGACTCTGGGAGGCGTAGATTGCAGTGAGCCAAGATCGAGCCATTGCACTTCAGCCTGGGCAACAGAGTGAGACTGTCTCAATAAATAAATAAACTTGTTTTGTTTTCAGATACAAGGTCTTGCTCTGTTGCCCAGGCTGGAGTGCAGTGGCATGATCACAGCTCACTGCAGCCTCCAATCCTGGGTTCAAGCCATCCTCCTGCCTTAGCCTCCTGAATAGCTGGAACTACAGGCACATACCACCATGCCTACCAATTTTTTTTTTTTTTCTTTTTTGTCTAGAACAGGGTCTCGCTATATTACCCAGACAGGTCTCAAACTCCTGGGCTCAAGCTTTCCGTCTCTGCCTCCCTAAGAGTTGGAATTACAGGCTTGAGCCACCATGCCTGACCCCAGTTTTTTGGGGGTTTTTGGTTTTGTTTTTGTTTTATAGAGACAGTCTTGCTATGTTGCTCAGCTGTGATGACTAGCATGAATTACCATGCCCATTCATAAGGGAGATACAAGTATCTTACGACATCAGCACAGTGTCTGCGTCTGATCCTGTATTGGGCCTCCCTGGGGGATTACAGAGAAAACGATAATGATACTGGCAGTGTGGAAGGAACATTACCAAATGCTAAACAATTCCCATATACAGTTTGGGTTCTCCCCGTGTGAGGCCCAACCCAGCAACAGGGCCACTATCTATAGCCTATTAGCTATGCAAATTCTAGCACCCAGGCCTAAACCCCCGGAAACTCACAGAGAGGGCGTCCTCCGGAAGATTCCAATGGCCCCGCAAATTTGAGAATGCCACTTGTGCCCACGTTTTCCTTTTCACCTGCTATTCCTCAGCCCAGAATGTTCTTTGCCCAGACCTGCAACTGGAGACACCTTACCACTCATGTTGCCCTTCACACCGTCCCCTCTGGGTCAAGATGACAAACTGAACCAGCCTCTGCTTTCACTGTCTCCTGAAACTTCACTGTAGTGACACTTAAGCAATTGTTCATAAACCAAAAAAAAAAAAATGTTTACAAGCCAGCAGAGCGGAAAGGTGAGTTTTCTTAGAATTTCACCACCCCCAAGACTTATTCGTTGGGGAGTCCCCTCAACCATTAGCAATGTTGATGGCAGCTACAACACAGAAGTTTACCATACATATACTTGCAGAAGAAGGCCAGGAGAGGCGGCTCACGCCTATAATCCCAGCACTTTGGGAGGCCGAGGCAGGGAGATCACCTGAGCTCAGGAGTTCAAGACCAGCCTGACCAACATGAAGAAACGCTGTCCCTACTAAAAATACAAAATTAGCTGGGCTTGATAGCACATGCCTGTAATTCCAGCTACTCAGGAGGCTGAGGCAGGAGAATCACTTGAACCCAAGAGGCGGAGGTTACAGTGAGCCAAGATCACGCCATTGCACTCCAGCTTGGGCAACAGAGTGAAACTCCATATCAAAAAAAAAAAAAAAATTTGTTTGGGGTGGTGGCGCATATTTGTCATTCTAGTTACTTGGGAAGCTGAGGCAGGAGAATCGCTTGAACCTGGGAGGTGGAGGTCACAGTGAGATGAGATCGCACCATTGCACTCCAGCCTGGGTGACAGAACAAGACTCCATCTCAAAAAAAAAAAATAGTGATGGATGCAGCAAACCACCACCATGGCACGTGTATACCTATGCAGCAAACCTGCACGATCTGCACGTATACCCCAGAACTTAAAGTATAATAAAAAAATAAATAAAAATAGGGTCTCACTCTGTTGCCCAGGCTGGAGTTCGGGGGCATCATCATGACTCATTGCAGCCTCCAGCTCCTGGGCTCCAGTGATCCTCCCACCTCAGACTCCCAGAGTGCTGGGACTACAGGTATGAGCCACCTCACCTGGCCCTTTCTAAATAATTTTTATTTTTTTGAGACAGGGTTTCACACTGTCGCCCAAGCTGGAGTGCAGTGGGTAATCAGCTCACAGCAACCTCAACTGCTGGGCTGAAGCAATCCTCCCACCTCAGCCTCCCGGGTAGCAGGACTATAGGCACGCACCACCATGCTCAGCTAATTCAGTATTATTTGAAGAGATGGGGTTTCCCCATGTTACTCAGTCCGCCTCCTTGGCTCAAATGGTTCACTCATCTCAGCCTCCCAAAGTGCTGGGATTATAGGCGTGAGCCACCCTGCCAGGCTGCTGGACCACCAGGCCCATTTTTAATTTTTTTTATTTTTTATTTTATTTTTCCTAAGGGAGTGAACACAGGATAGTTTATTTTATTTTTTAATTGAGATAGAGTCTTTCCATGTTTCCCAGGCTGGTCTCTAACTCCTGGGCTGAATGGATCCTCCTGCCCTGGCCTCCCAAAATGCTGGGATTACAGGTGTGAGCCACCAAGTCCAGGCTTTTATTTATATATTTTTTTTTCTTAAGAGAAAGGAAAATGGGCCAAGCACAATGGCTCATGCCTGTAATCCCAGCACTTTGTAAAACTGAGGTGAGTGAATTACCTGAGGTCAGG